TGGAAAATAACTTAACTTAAGCAAATCTTAAGAAACTAGGAAAAAAATCTGCAATCCATCAGTTAGAAATACATTAAATATCAATCTGCATTTTATCATTGCTATACTCACATCAGATCTTTATGCTGTCATTGGAGAATCCAGTTCATGCAGTTAAGATTTTCAAAGTTATACAAAGTATCTCTATCCTATTTGCACAATAGCAGGAACCACCCAAGTCTCATGACCAGTGCATATGCAACATGCACCAACAGCACAGCTTGTAGGCTGATCTTATTCCTGCTTTATGTCACGAAACAACTGACTTTTAAAAGGAAATCACCAAGATTGTTAGGATGTTGTTAGCGGTTCCAGTTTCGTTTTGACGTTTCATGCTGAATATACTCTGAGGTCAGGTCTCTGCATTGCTGAGAATGTGCATCCAAAAAAATTACACAAAGCATTCTATAAAATTTATATGCTCAAATTCTGCTTTTAATTACACTCTTAACTTTTTGCTGGGTTTATACCCCTTTAGAGAACTATACAGCCTTTGCATTTGAACTTGCATTTGCTAGGACTGTTCTGCATTCATGAAACTATCAAAGTAGATTTTCTTAGTTTTCATCAGACTAATTTTACAAGAATTCCTCTAGTGATTACCTAGCATTTGCAGCACATATTTTGTGTTTTCATATATACCGATATTATTACAAAACAAAACAAAACAAGAGGATAATCAAACACTCCAAAGAGGCTGTGAATCTCCATCCTTATCTTACAAATATATCAAACTTGACAGGACAAAGCCTGAACATTTGGATTTAAGCTGGCACCACTTTGAGTGTGAGGTTGGACTCAGTGACTGACATCTTCTTTCCAACATAAAAGTTTCTATTCTATTAAACAGCCTTATCAAGGGATGTATCTTTTCATTTTTCATCACTTTATCCTTTAATTTGTGATGACATCATGATTGGGAGACATAAAAGAGGATACAAAGTCTTCTTAGGTTTCTTGATGCATTGGTGTTACAGGTCGGATACACATACTCTTTTGTCTCCAGTTAGCTCCTTATCACTTGGGAGAATTGTGCTCTACCTCCACACAAATAATGATTGTGGCTTTAGTCCTGTGAATCCTGTCTGGTTTGGAATGATGTGTGATGATTGCCTGCCTCACAGTTCCAGACTGAGTCAGACTGTGAAATCATGTCTACTGCTACCTAGTGCAGAGCAATCCACCTTTTTTTCCTTAGTATACTTATCCTGTGTAGCCCTGTCACATAAAGTAACTCCAAGTTACTTTATAAAGTAGCTCCATAAAGTCTCCCCTTTCCCCAGAAAAGCTCCAATGACCTCTTTGGCAGCTGTTAGAAGTCAAGGATTTGGATGACTGGACACTTGAAGAGGAGAGAAAAGCCCACAAGATTAGGGTTGAGATTGATCTATGATTTACAATTAAAATCAGGTTAGGCCTTATGATGGCCTAATACTTTCAGTAAAAGCAAAAGGTAAAAGATGGCAGAAAACTGAGATCTGTGCTCTTTTTGTAAGTATGGGAGAGCGAGGGAATTGAATCTTCTTAGGGCTCTTCTTCCTGGCTGATGCTTGCCTGCCTACTGTTTCTCTTAACTCCATCTTCACCCTCCACCTGCTGCCAATTCTCAAAGGCCTTGTCTGTTTTGTGGCCTTCTACAAGACAAATAGCCTATTCAGGGAGAAGTATTTATGCAAACACACCTTTCAATTAATAACTTTTTTAAAAGGATTTATTAATGGTAAAAATGAAGAAATAAGGCAAAAAAAAATACAGGATGTGCAGGTCATGCAGATCCCTTGAGCATTCTGAGATAGTAAAGGCTCTGCCAGAGCCACTGTAAAAGACGGATATCCCAGCTCAAGTCATGGCACTTCCCAGTAAATGTTGTTGCAGAATACCAGGGTCCTACCATGTGACACTCTCTGCATGAAGAAGCCTTGTTTTGTCAATTGCATTGTTTTGTTCCTTCTCTTTTAATTAGCCCTTATCTTGCCTACTCCCTCCACAACTTCCTCACTTGATTATAGAGGAATCTCTACCTCCCCTGCATCCAAGTGTCTAGTTTCTCAGCAGTTACTATGACTTTTAAAAGGAAAACAAAAGTGTTCCTTGTTCTCTTTCCACCTGACAGAAAAGGACCCCCAAAGTTGCTTCACAATCACCATCACTGCCTTCTACTCATTCTAAGGCAATACAACAGGTTTTCTTTGTGGGTTCCCATTTTGGGATAGGGAGAAAGCTCAGTGCAATTGCCCAAGAGTCAGTGATCTGCCTTGTGCACGTCATGAACCCAGCAGTATCTTACAGGTACTTGACTGGGATAATATTTGCAGGACCAGAGAAATATAGAGAAGAAGACTGGGAATTAGGGGGAAGATGCTGTAGAACTAGAAGTCCTACTGCTAACATCTGCAAAAGCAAGAATTCTAGTGTTAATATCTCTGCTACTTTGCTGGTTAGCCTATACTAATGATGCACCATTGGTATGTGTCCTTCAAGGATGTTAAGGTTACTTTTTTGGCCAAAGGGAAAAGGGACACACATCCTGCTGGTTCTGCTCCAGGAAAAGCCCTGCAGGTCAATAGCAATGTTTCTGTTTTTTTTAATATCGGTTGTTTGATGTGATTGTTATTAGCAAACGCATTCATATTCTACAAAATTAAGTGCCACATCACAAAACAGGCCACCAGACTGGTTCATAGTCACATTTTTCAAATGAATGAATCCTGAACTCAAATACCAATAAGCCAATTTAGACTGTGCATATGAACCAGGCTTTTGAACACTTTTGGAAATCTGATAAAGCCTGGCCATTAGGAAGCAAAATGCAGCTTACTGAAGCTAAACCTGGTCTAGCTTCCTGCTGGATGTTATTTTCCAGATATCCAGAAACACTGAAGTAGCACAAAAACATTTTTAACTGAAGAAAAAATACTATTACACATACAGTGCTTAACTACATTTTTATGTTAGGATAGGAAGGATTTCCTCTTATCTAGTTCTCATGACATACATTTGTTGTACTTTCACTTATGTGTATATTCTCCCTCTGTCATGAGTGGAAAATAACTGAGCTGAAAGCTCTCATGGCATTGGAGGATAAACATGTGGGCCTGTCTCCCCATATTCATAATAACAAAGCCGAGGGACTTGGCTTATCCTAGAAGCTTAATTTGGAAAGTTACTAAAATTAGATTGGACAAGGTCTGGTTCATATTCCAGAGAAGTATAAAGTACAGCTTATTTAGAGAGGACAGCTCTTTTCACCTTATCTGTTATTCACCACACATACTGCTTTTCTAGGGAAGGAGCAAAATTTCACACTTCCTATCAACCACTCAGGAACTCAACCACTGTTATTTTAGATGTTGGGGTTTAGCTACAGAATTTAAAGCTATATTTTTGTCCCCTCATTTCATTATCTTATTCATCTGATATACAGCATTTTCAACAGTAACTTACCCTTTCTCCTGCAGGGAAAAGAGAAATGCAACAGTTCTTTTTGTTTGGTGGAGTTTGATAAAGACATAAAATTCAGTTCCATGACACTATGTTCCATGTTCACATGGAACATGACACTATGTTGCAGTTCCATGCACTAACAGCACTTCTTTGCAAAGGCTGATAATAACTAAAAGGAGCAGACTTCTACTTTATTATGCACACAGCTATTGCAATCTCAAAGAGGAAGTAGAAAATTAAGGGGTTAGGTTGTCTGGAAGGAAAATCAATTATGTGGTGATGTGATTCTACATTTGTGTATTGAGAAGAGTCAGTGCTTTGTATACAAATGGCCCTGATATTTCCAAAACCAGTTTTGCACTCTGTGGATAATTGAAAATTGGCTATCACCTTCAGTGACACCCAGACTACGGCCTCAAAAAGTGTGTGGGGAAACAGGAGGGGGTGTTCAATGGCAAGAATTAGTATATCAATATGCAAGTTCTGCAATGAATTAAGGAAATTACTTTATAGTAATTGTTTTTCTTAACTGGGGTCTACCAACTCCACTATGGTTATATGATGCATTTTTCTATCATACTATATATCCTACAGCTCGCTGAGATATAGTAAACACAACTTTACATTAGCTAGATTGAATAGTGCCAGCAGTGAAACCCTGGGCTGAGGACTGCGTTCACATTCTTAGGACTGCACAACAAACTTATTTTAAACAGAAAAATAATAGCCAAATCCAATGAGATTCCAGTTCTCCATCATCTCTTCTTTGTGGAAGCCATAAGCAGGATGACACGGGTGTAGACACTCTTCTACACTCAAATCTTGCATTTTTATTTTCACAGAAAAAGTGCAAGAGTGCTTACTCTACGTACTTGCAAGTCAAGGAGAGCAGGGAAAAACAGAAGAAAAACAAAACTTGTTTTATTAAAAAAAATATAATTCTGAATATCATTATAATAAATAATTTTCACCTCTGTATGACCGTCCCAAAAAAGCTATGTATCTAGAAAAATGTAACATAACCATAACTTAAGAAATGGGATCCAGGAGCATGTTTCCAAAGCCTCCAAAACAAGAGCTCTTCTTTCTGAAGGTCTAAACAGTTGCATTATCCCCAAATTGTAAATCAGGAAAGTAATGAGCAGTAACCAAGTAGTGCCAGATATATTACAAGGAAATTTAATTACCAAAACACTTCTAAGAGGAAGAGATCAAAAAGCTCAGTATTATTTAATTTCTAAACCATAGTTGCCAAGAGGGTTACAGCACTTTTTTAGGCTTAGTTGTGAGTAAGCTGGTATTTTAAGGACAGAAAATGCCCTGTATGTATGGCACCTTGTCTTGTTGTACCATTATCTTTTATGAGGATCACAGTATTGAAAAAATTCTTTAAAAGCTGGAAAACAAAATCTCTGCAGGAAATTGAGAGCTCAGGTGAGGAAGGAAAAAAAAAACGTCCAGAAGATGACCTATCAAGAACTAGCTATGAAGTTCATGATGGTCATAGACCTAAATTGCTTTACCTTAAAGACATTTTCAATGAAACTTGTAAGGTAGAAACTTGGATATTTAAATAAATACCTCAATATCTAGTTCCATATACAGACAGCTGAATGCAAGGACTTTTTATGTTATAAGTATTTTAACTTCATTGCATTTTTCCCAAGTTACAACAATTAGAAGATTGCCATCACACAATAAAAACAAAAAATTAATATCCCCTTCAATAGATAGAACATAGAATATCTGAGCTGTCAAGTCTTCACCACACAGGAAAAAAATCTTCCCCTGCTTTCTCTGTCTAGGTCTTCTCGATTTGCATATCTGTAAAAGGAAGAATTACATAATATAATTATCAAATTACTGAATGATGAAGTCACAAAACAATTCATGGGTTTGGGCCCCTTTCCTAGAGTTTGGAGGTACCAAAAAAAATGTCCTTCATTGTCTAAATTAAAGACCTAAATGAAATTAATTAAGTGATCAAACAGAAGAAGAAGATGATCGTGGGAGGAAATGAAGTGGTGGGAAGTGCTCTTTAGTAAATACAGTGAAATTGCTATTGCTTAGGTTCCCCTTTCTTTTAAGAGCTTTTCAAATTCTTTCAAATGCATTCAGTGCTTTATCTCTCAATATCAGTAGCAGCATATACCTGGGCCCTAACTCTTTGACTTGGAGATCTATACCTGCAGGACCAGCAGACTTATCTGTAAGTTTACTACAGCGAAGTAGCAGGGAAGGATTTGGGATGTAATTAATGCAAGTGCTTTAGAAATCAGCAAGAACATAAAAGAAAAACCTCAATAATTTCACTCATACCATTGTTCCATACCAAAGTATGTTTCAGAGATTTCAGAAATATGGTCATACATTTTCTTGCTTTGCCAAGACATAATCTCGCAGTTTGAGACTTGCTCAAGTGGCTGTGACAGGTTACTGTCTCCTTCCCCACTGTGTGTAAACAACTGTTTCTATAGCAAAAGCATAAACTAGAAAAATAGACTGATTTTGGTTAAAACTCCACATCACATTTCCTTTGTATATCCTTTCTATTTTAAAAACCAGATTCATTATTTGATGTAACAAACAGTACACAATGAGTTATGACAGTGAGTTTGTAAGACAGAGAATGGGAGGTTGTATTTCTCTTGAAGGTTCTGTCTTTTGAAACAAGGGAGTAAATATATCAGCCATGAATCAAGGCTCCAATGACCATGGATGATTTGTGCTGTGTATAATTTGCTATTTTTTCCCTTTATCATTTATACTTACATTGCAGCTCTCTGTCTTCAAAAGAAGCATCTCTGCAGTCATGTGTATCCTTATCTTTTGACAGATCTTTAAGCAAACAACATACATACAGACAGTGAGCATAGCTTAAACTTTTCAGATAGTGATAAATCTTTCCTAAAACTACCATCTCAGGTTGCCCAGGAACTGAGTGACTTAAATGCAGAGCAGGAGAACAGATTAACACCAAAAGCTGTGTCTGTTTGGGCAAGTATTCTCAGGAGAGGTTTTCTTAGGAAAAACCCAAACTGCCAGTATGGATTAATTTTCACACAGCAGTCTAATTTGAGGTGGTCTCCAAATAAAAGCATGCAACAAATTAAAAATAAATCAACCAATAGCCATCATGAGAGACAACAAAATTATTTTAATAACTTCTCTCCCACCATAATCTCTTCACTCTTTCCTTCATTTCTCACTGTCACAGTGCTACCAGCCTTTAATTGAACTTCAATCATAAATAGCACCAGTATCCCAATATGAGAAAAAAGAAACTGTTAGGGAAGCTAAAGCTTTTTCTGGTGTTTCTCTCAACAGGGCCAAATCCTCTGTCACGAATGTTGTGACAAAGACCTTCAAATGCACACTATAATAATGCAGAAAACACAGGACCATGCCAACATGGTTCAAATTGCAGACAGGGTTTGCACATCAGGATGTGACACCATCCTGAGGTATAAGTTCCAGGGAGCATGTCCCATCCTACTGCAGACTTTCCAAAGCAGAGCATACCATTCTGTCCTTTTCTTGTTCATATCAGGAGTGCATCTGCTCCTGGAATAAGTATGCTTTTCTTTCACATTTTCCTTTCAATAAGCTGACATAGTAATGAAAAGCCACTCTTCACTTGTAATTTATAATTGTTACATAAATAGTGGAAAAGTAAAATCAAAGTTGAATTTAAATCTCCATTTGGTTTTCACCATTACAAAGTACATTCTCAAGCAATTATTTCCACAAGAATCACACTGAGACAGATTTATGCCATATGTACATACTTGTTATTGATGAACTCAGCACAGGTATTCTGTTGTCCTTATTTGCTCTAGCTGAAAGAAAATAAAAGAGAAAAAAATTCAATAAGAAAACAAAATACTTACTTTAGATCTAATGGAGGGCTTAAGCACACTGGTGGGAGGGGCACATTTAACACAGTGTAATCATTGTTTCTCAAAACACTAAATTTCTTCAAAGACTTTGAAATAAATTCTTTAGTGGCCCCAGTCTGTCCATTTCCTTTCCTAGTTCCTAAGCCAGAACTCCATTGATTCTATACATTTACATCACTGGAAAATACTTGTTCAAAACCTAGCAAGTGACACGAAGCCTGAGACGGAATATTCCCTCTTGTGAAAAAATCTTTCATACTTAACACCTTGGACATATAGCTTCCTATGCAGTCCACAGTTTTTACAGTATTTTGGCCAGAATAAAGACATATGCAGAATTCCTAACAATTGGATCACTTGAAAAAACACTCACAGTTCAATGAAATTTTTCAGAGAATGCAGGGGAAAAAAAACCTAAAAACTCTCCAGTGCCCTGCTTGCTAACAGCATTCTGATCCCCAGTCAAGAGGGGGGACCCAGAATAGGAAACTTCCATTTTCAGTGGGTGAATAAACTGCACTTCAAAGTTTGAATAGATTAGACATTAAACTTACTGCTCTACATCATCTATAAGAAAAATTAACAGGACAAGTGGTTTGTGAAGAGCTGATAACCTGTTCCATTCTGTTAACTTGCTAGTATTTAACTAAGTCCAATAAAAAAAGAGAAATAGTTTATGTGGTAAAAAATTTAGTGATTTCTGGACAAAAGATCTAAGGCAGACTTTCATTCTCTCATTCCACCTCAGTGAGGATGAATTAACAGAACAGATTGATAATAGCTGAGATGTTCTAAAATAAATAATTTGAATACCTTTTCTTATGCAGAACATAAATAGAAGCCCTGATCCAACAAAAGTAGTAGTAATGAGAGTTGCTCCAACAAACCGTCTGCTCTCAGTCCACAGAATGCCATCAGGTGTGTCTTTAAGAAAAAGAAGTGGGGGATAAGACATTACATAATTGCATGAGCTCCTCCCTTTTGCTTTCATTTTCACCATATTAATTTTGCTATGAGCAATTCAGATATGATAACAGCATTATAGACTGTGTCTATGGTCAGGTGCTCATGACACACTTAAGCACACTTTTGTTCAAATAAAGGAAAAAAAAAATATGGAACATGTTAATACTTATCTTTGTTCCCGGCATTCCATGTGATGGTGCCTTTGATTCTCATCACACATCTTGCTTGTCAGCAAGGATCTGTTATATTTAGTTTAGTTTCCCATCAGGACTAAAGGAAAAAGCTAATTGAGAAAGAGAACAGAAAGTCCCTTTCATCTGGTAAGGCTCTGAATGCAAAGGAAAAGTGGTTTCCTTGAATCCCAAAGGCTTTTCTTGTTAAAAACAAACTTGCCCATTGAAAGGATAACTTGGCTTTCTCACTCTTGCCTGCCTGTTTTCAACCCTTGTCAGGCCCAAAAAGCGTGCCAGCACAGGTGTTATTAAAACTAGGTTATGAACAGGACCAGGGGAACGACCTGACAGTAACAGTCTGATAAACAGAAATATTGTTGTTTGAGTCTCCAATCTGGCTGAAAGCACATGAGGCTACAATGCAGAGAAGAATAATCAAAAGCAAAAGCAGTAGGGATGCAGCCCAGGTAAAAGGTCTAATGAGAAACTGTATAGGTCTTGTCCATTCATGCATTTTCCTTCAATACAGACTTTAGAGGAAAAAAAATCTGTGTACAGTTAGTTAGTTACATTTAAATATGCTCAAAGCAAAGGCTGTAATGGCAAGAAAAGATCATATTGTTCTAATTTATTTGACAGTAATCATCAGCAAAATAGAATATTCTTGGAAGATGAGTTTAATTTATATGAGAGAGTTTTATTTCCAGTCTCTGAGCTGTATGTCTCTCAAATAATGAAACTTTTTTAACATTTAGACTGGATTTTCATATAACTGCAGGTCATGCAAAATTCCTGTCCTTCAATTCTGACCACACATTCATGACGAACATGTCAGTATGATGGAAGTGTATATTAATAACAAAACAACACAGGTATTTCTCTTTAGACTTTTCAAAATTAGATAGGAAAGAGAAACAAATTATGGCTGATTCAACTGGGACAAAATTACATAGCACCTTGAAGTGTATTACTATTAATGAAATTTAGAAATGTACCTGCTATGTGTAAAATGGCAGATGTATTTTCTTGCAGCTCTTTATTCCAGAATATACAGTAAAATATATCATCAATTCCACTTTTGATTGTAAGGGTACTTGTCACATGATACAACTGGTCCCTTCCAGTTTGATAACTTGTGTTTGCCTTATCAGTCAAATCTTCATAGTCTCCATTTTGCCATATCACTTCAGCTTCTGGGTATCCTTCAGACTGGCATGTCAACTTCCATTCATTGTGTCCTGTGCTCACCACTCTTTGGGTTATAGTTCTGTAAGGAGCTAAACAGATGGAAGAAAATGATTACTAGAAGGAAGCTAGAAGAACAGCATATATTAAATGCAAGACACCTTTTCCGTATCCCCAACCCCCAGGGTCAAGTTTCAGCATGGATTTTGCAAATAATACCCTTGACACGAAAAGTAAATATCATTACTGTGTCTGTAACTGGAGGTACAGGATTTATTACAATTTTGATGCTGTTTAGAAAAGTGCACTAGATTTATGGTCTTTGTACTATCTAAATGGTTTTGAAACACCATTCCTCATTGGGGAAATAAAGGACAGAGTGTGGATTCAACCTAAACAGAAATACTGTTATATTTTATTATAATATAATGTATATATATGTATATACATATAATATGTATATAATTATACAGCTGCATAAGCACTATTAGGCAACTAACTCCTGTCTCTGGAGAGGGTTCTTTTAACTACTAAACCGGATGTGTCTTACTTCAGGGTCTCCTCTGAAATCTTTTAGCAGTATCAGACAGTATTGAACCTCTGGTAGTAGTACACTCACCCTTAACTTTCAGGTGGATTGTCTTGTAGTCAGCTCCCCTATAGCCAATAATACAGTGATAAGTCCCTGCATCTCTGAGCTTCACATCAGTGATCTGAAGGAGAGACTGTCCCAAGTTCAGATTCTCTTTCAGCAATTTTATTCTTCCCTTAAAGTCACTGTGCTGACCTTTCAAGTCTTCCTTTCCTCTGACAAGTACATAAACCAGCTTCTTTAACTCATCTTTCTTTTCCCAGCTGACATTTAAATCTCCAAACTTTAATTTCCCATTCACTGGAAATGTGCATTCCATGGTCACATTGTTCCCCTGTTCCACAATGTAGAGTGACTGAGGAGCTTCAACAGTGAATAAAGCTAAAAAATAAAATTTGGAAGAAAAATTAATTTTTCAATAATAAGCCTAATCTTTGAAGTCATGTTTTACCATATCCACAGGAAATTTTAAGGACCAAAGTATCTGCTCTGTTCTGAAAAGTTAAACATTTTGGCATGCACTTGTATAAGTCTGGGACAAATTGGGCTACTTATACCTTCAGACACCTGCTTTGTGCACAAACACAGTGTGATGCTTTACTAAAAATAGTTGACTGTGTGTACAGAGTCCCTCAGCTGTTGCTTTCAGAACATTGCCATTGTAACAGGCAACCATTAGTGCCTAGGAATGTTATACACAAATGTTTTTGGTTTTACACACAATGCTAAAGAATACGCAGCAATTCCCAGGTTTTACGGTGCCAATAATACCTTTTGTGTAATGCAAAAGGTGCCTTGTCTGAAATAGTGTCTATGCTGGATCACTGACAGAGATTTCAACCTGGCCCCATATGAAAATGCATATATCTAGTTTAACGTAAAAGCATGCTGAGATCTTTTTATTTAAAATATTAAGGAAAAAAAGCCAAATGCTGAAGGAACACTGAGGGATTAACATTTCTGTGCTTATACATGGAAGGAAAACATAGTCAAACAGTTCTACAACTTGGCTTCTTACCACTGAGGAAATTCCAGTAGAATAAAAATATATACAAAAGTAAAGGCCGTTTCATGATGTAGATGGAACCTAAAATGAGAAAATAATAGACACAGACAAATATAAATACCTATTCATTTTCTAACTTGCGCTGTAAAATACACTTGATAGTCAGTCCACACAAAGAACTGGGCAGAAGGCACTGAATTCCACTTTAGTTGAAAACAGGACAAAATTGCACCCAGTAGGTAATCAGGCAGAAAGCTTCCTGCTGCATGGGTCCAAAACCCATGTGAAAACCAACTTATTTTATTTGCTTTAAACATCTGTCCTTCAATATGGCAAAACATATGTTTTATCACTACCTGTCAAATAGTAAATACGTACTTACAAATATCCAATTTTTTCCCTAACTGTAGCAGGGAGTGTTGCTCCTAGCAGGAGGAGAATGAAGGAATTTTCTATATGCATTCAGTGGAGAAAATAGAACTTGGTTCCTCCCCACCTCTTTGCCTTATTTTAACATACTGTGAACACACCCTGCTTTCTACCCTGGTCTCACAGTACTTACCATTAGGCTTGCAAAATTACATATACTGTGAAAATAATTAATGCAGTAGTTAATAACACGTATTTACACAATAGCGCCTTTGTAAAACAGTGACAAAAAGAGTCAGCCTACAAGCAGAATCTATTTTATTGAATTTCTGCTGCTTTACCTCTGAACATGTAAATTATTTCAATTTTCTGTCAGAAGTTTTCCCCCTCTTTACTGACATAGGTTTTATACGCCTATACAACACTTTCATATTATAAAATGTTTGTTAATGTCAATTCATACACTTAACCTTCGCACAACCACTGATTTTGATAAATATGTATTTTAAGTCAGAACAATACTAGTATCCAGCACTGCCATAATTTTACAAATTTACTGCCAAGAAAAATTCAAACTCACTGTAATGGAAATCTTTCATGAATACAGAAAACTGTAGGATTTTATCTAAATAAAGTCCTAATTTTGGATACCCAGACAGCTACAAAAATAAGGAAAGATTGGCTTCAACTGTTTTCTAGTGGTAGTTTCAGAATTTGTATAAGAAATTAGACAACTGCATGCTCATCACATTTCCTAACCAATGAAATTCTATCTGCGCCAAGACTCTTAGCCATAACCATTTTTGATAAGATAGTTGATCTTCTTTCTCTGATTGTCAACTTTAAGATGATTATAAGGTGACAATATTGTCCTGAATCATAAGACACCTGTCCCTTTACAATGTTGTGGCTTAAGGGAATTAGAGTCCTCATAAGAATTTGATTCAAGCTACTTCTTCTCTCATTACTGCTGTCTGATCCCAATAGCTAGTTTGCAGAAGGCAGAATATAAGGAGCTGAGGAAGGGACTCTATCTAACACATTGTTAGGCAGATATGAGCATTTACAAAAGCATGAATAAAGCAAAAATACAAAGATTCTCAGGGTGAAAGATCCAATTCATCAATAAATCTTAGGCTTTGTAGTGTGGTTAGCTACCAAATTCATTCCTAAGCCATTAGTGATGTCCTTGAAAGCACTAGCAAACTGCTCCTTAATTCTATGGGTTCCCAAGAGTTTCTGGGAGTCTACACTGGAGTTTACACAAGAGCTTACACTGGAATTCCTCCGTCATGATGCCACTGCGTGAGTCACAAGCACTCCAGACCACCAACTAGGCTCCAAAGTAAAGCTTCTCATACAAGATAGAGGCATACTGATCTCACAGATGTGCCATGGTCACACTTACTCTGGAGACATGCCTGCAGAAGACTAAGTCACTGGTATTGGGTATTCGTGTGCATTCCAGATGTTGGAATAACCAAAGCTGTAGCACACTCAGACCCAAAATACTTTCTACTTTTTTTTTTCTTCTTTTTTAGGTAGAGGCTGTAGACTGCAAAGAACAACGTAGACTTCTCAAAACAGTAGACTGCTTGTAACAAACATCATGTGCACTACATTCATGATATCTACACCCACACATACAACCTAAATCCACCTTTTTGTCAGGAAATCTGAATGCTGGCATGAACTTCAGGGGAGGTGTTTTGATTAACTCATGGAAGACATATGACAGGTTAGCTTTTATGGTTCTAAGACCCATGTTTACGTCTTGCAATTGCTGAAATTTAATTATTGTGCTTTCTTTCACTGTAGAGAAAAACAAGCCTTACAAGACAAAAAAGAAGTATGACTATTACTTACAAATTTCCTCAAGACTGAGAAAGTCTGCTGCTGTACTCAATTTTTCCCTTTCAGAGGGAAAAAAGTAGGTCCAGGTAAAATCCAGATGCGCATGAAAAAAACCTCCCTGCAATAACCATTACAAAACCTTCTACAGAACAATACTGAGGCAGAAAGATCCTCTGACTGGATGGGTTGAAGCAGTTTGAAAACTTGATGCCAATCAAAGCTCTCTGCCAAAGCTATCAGCTTGCTATTTTTCTTCCAGAACCTACCACAATTCCCCTTTTCTCCTCCTGGAGCTTCCAACACCTGTGTCAAATAGTTTGATAAAAGCAAAATGTATTCACTGTGCAAAATGCCCTTCCGTATTGCTGCTGTATGTTTCCTTCACAATCAAGTAAAGAAGACAGGAAAAACAGAACTACTAGTCAAAAGACTTAATGTGAGAGAACTTAAATGTTTATGTAACTCCACCTACTTCTTTAAGAAACTTCCCCATTATTGGAAAATTCCCCACAAGGGAAAATTCTGTATTGCTAACAGTGACTCTTTGTAACCAGAGACAGTAATGTTAGGAAAATTAGTACCTAAAATACAGTATTAATCTCAAGCAGTGGCAAACAGCTGCTAACAATGACTAGAAATTTCTACAGAACTTACTCATGTCTTTAAAGGTCATAGGAATAAGAATAATGTAGGACGAATAGGAACATTGGGAAGAGCATTTGCCTGCTCTCCTCTGGTGAGGACAGATACTCTCTCCCCAGGACTTGAGCACAGTGAAGGCCCCTTGCCTTGCTACTGTGTAGTGAAAGGAAAGTTGTTAAGCCTATGCACCAGCTTAGCAAAAAGCAGGGAGCACTGTCTTTTTAATTATCTTGGTTCTAGAAGTCATTTGAGAATATAGAAAAATCCCAGGTATCAGAAGCCAAAGGAGGTACTCACATTACCTTGTGGACTGCAGTGGGAGAACCAGGTGCACAAAATACAACTTCAAACTTATGCTTCAGTGTAAGCTCACTCACTTAGATTCTCCTCGCATATCTCAAAAAAGGGTTGAGGTTCTCAGGAGAGTTAAAATACTGTGAAATGACTGCTTAAAAGTGTTTTCTTCTTTATACTTGACAGCCCACTCACTGTATCTGTCATGGAAGCAAAAACACGTAATACACAAAACTGGTTAGAGTTAACCTTTTTAATTGATGTGTGAGATGAACATGGAAACAGTGGTACATAAAATAGCTCAATGTAACATTTAGGTTCTCACAACCTGAAACTACCTTAGGAGGTTGAGGGGGTGGATTTCCACAATAGGTGAGACCGATGAATATTAATTTCCACTGATATTTGTGTGTGTGTGTGTGTGCTTAAAAATAGGCTTAATGAAATTGTCTCAGAAAAAAAAACATGCAACAAAGAGACAAGGAAACACATTTGTAAAATAGTGTGAGACCACAGAAGCCACTAATGTAGCTACCTTTCAATGTTGGGAATTTAGTTTCTGCTTTTTCTTTACTTGCCTTGAGGTCATGGAGTTGCTTTTTCCACTTAAGTGTTTAGTAGTAAATAAAAGACCGGGGCAGATGGGGTTTTTGTTTAATTTTGCTTCATACGCACACACTCATACACATACACACATACATCTACGTGCACACAAACACATTTTACAGCACCGTTCTGTACAGCAGCTGGTGAGGTTTGGTTTGGGGGTTTTTTTTACCTGTTCTGCAAAACGTTTCCCAGAGAGCTACCTCAGTCCTGCCTGTCACCGGGCATTCCCAAGCAAAGCAAAGGCTTTCGGGGAGAACGTGCGGGGGAAGGATCCGGCGGCCTTGGGCGCCTCACGGAGGGATCCGCTTCGTACAGCACCGGGATAGGGCTCCCACTGCCGACAGCCCTGCGATTCCCTGAGCTGCGGGCCGGCTTCTCGCTGACTGGCGGCTCCTCCTATGTGGCAGCTCCCTCGGCCCAGCCTCCGGTGGGTCACACCCCGGCCCCGAGCCGGGTCTTCCCTGGCCGCCCGCGGTACGAGTTCAGCGCCGGCTGCGGCCCTTCGCGGAAAGCCGCCCCGAAAAACCCCGGCGCTGTGTTCCTAAACCTCGCTTCAGCCGGGGCGGGACACGGAGTGCGGGCGATTTGTCCATTCCTGAGAGAGGGGGGTTGTAGGAAACAAAACCAAAAGCAGCACCGACACCGTTTCCCGGCTTGTTCCTTTCTCTTCCCTTATCGGGAAGAGACGTACTTGGGAGCGAGCCGCATGGCTCATCAGTCAGGCACCTAGCTGCGTGCTTTTGGTTTTTCTTTCTTTCTTTTTAGCATGGTGAAATCATATTGTTCACTTCCCAAATGGATGGCTTGCTACTTAGGTGGCGGATGACTGCGTCAAAGGATGGGAATGTGACTGATGATACAGCATCCGGGATACCTCTAAAGTCCAGGAGCTATGTCCTGCTTCTCCAGGGTCAAAGAAGCAATTCAACTTTATTTAAATAGCTCTGTTCTCGTCCACTTAAAGATCCTACTGGGGGATAAAACTTCAGTTTAATAACCTGATAATACAATCTGGGAATATAGTGTGGTATAGGGTTTCTTTTCTGAGATAATACTTCTCATGTTATAATTCTAATAAGGTCTCTGCCATAACTTTTCCAAAAGAAAGCAACCCTGAAATAAGAATATTGCTCAGAACATTACCAAAGAACCAAGGAGCCATTGTGAGAAGTTTACTCGTGAGTATATTTACAGAGTGGAATATAAAGCAAATACAAATTTGTAATGCATGGCAGCATGCAAGAGGCAGAGGTGTGTACTGAAAGAGGGGAAGGACGTCCAAACCCTTATGCTTTCTGTGCCCTAAGTATTAGGAAGGACATCTAAACCCCCCGGTCTCTATACCCTAAGTATCAGGTACTGCCACCTGCAACATGTAATTAATGGTTTTATAGGCTACAAGTGAGACGGTGGTTGAGAAGCCACTGAAATCCCTACCTTGAAATCGTCTGGTTTTTTGTTAATACAGACAATGCTGTCGAGGTGTTTGACAAAGATTGGTTTGATTGGGTTCAAATCTTCCAAACCATATAACATGAGCCCCTCAGAGAGAAGGATGTGGAATGTTAGGTAATGCAATACAAGCTCCTCTGCACCCAGAGAGACAATGGGGTCCTGCTGCCCCAGCTGCTCCCAGGCAGGGGATATCAGCACAACAATGACCCATCTCTACAAGTGCAGAGAAGCACAGAAGCCTCAAGGCAGGTGGGAACCCAAATAAAGGACTCAAAGGAAGCTCATATTTTAATAAGCTTCAAATTTTTGAGCAATAAACATGACATTTGTAAATGGTAAATTCACTTATAAAGTTACTTCTAATACATAAAGTTACAAAACAGTCACAAACCCAGACAAAACAGTCACAAACCAGACTGAGAAGTTTCTTTACAGTAATAACAAACAATTACTGCAAAAACATTCCCAGAATGAAGAGGAAGCCTCTAGTTTATGATTAATGCTTTAGTTAAGAAGATTAGATTACATGAGGACTTCCCCTGTAGCAAACAAAAAATGCTCTGTCAAAGCTAAAGGTTTATCTTTGTCCTTGTAGGTGCTTGGATTTTCAAAGTTTATGTCTAACTATATTCACACATTTCCTATTTTCAGAAGTTGAATAGTAAAACAAACCGTAAAAATCGTCAAGGAAGCAATCACCTTTTTTTTTTTTTTAATGAACATAAGATATTAGAAATCTGGTTTGTTTTGCTGAACACTTATTTCTAAAATAAAAGTTATTGTCACAAGTTAAAAAAAATAATTATCATGGGGTTAAAAATGTATTACAGTCATTTTTTTGTTTACAGTCAATAGACTTTTAGAATACTCAAGTGAATATGCTATGGTAAAACAAGGAAATTGGCTTGCTAAATACTATGAGTTTAGGGCACTGATCTTCATTTCTTTCAAACTATTTAACTGTTTTGATTGTTAGATTTTGGAATTTAATTTTGTATATAATATTTTCAGTTCAATGGAATCAATCAGGCAAACTGATACAGGTGTAACCTATTTTCCATATTTTAATTCTACAGGCTATCTCTAGCATGATACTCTCTCTTCTTAATATGGATTTTGAAACTGAAGCAGATAATGAATTGTCTTATACCTAAATCATTATGGTAAAATTCAAAATGATGCATCCAAGTGTACTACATATAAAGATAAGAGGAAGAGTGCTTGTTTTCTTTCAAACATTTCTTCTGGTTCTTATTCTATGTTCCTTTTTCTTTCTTGTAATGTAAAAATCACATTTAACTTATCCAATAGACACCTGCATTGGCACAAATTATAATTATTTCCATTTTCAGTTTACTCTATTTTTTTGGTTAAGTGCCACATCCAAAATTTTCAAGACTTATTTATTTTTGGACCAACTTTTGTGGAGAAAATACATCTTATAATTTAAGTACTTTTTAAAAGGATGGCAAGAACAAAGGAGACATGACTGCCTGGCTAATGGCTGGCAGCTTGGCATTAGTACAAAATGTCTTTACAACGGCACATGGGTCTTCTGTAACAGCAGCACTACCTACAGCCTTCTGAAGTAATGAAATACCGCTTGCCTTCAGAAATGCCAGCAATTTAACAGCACCATGTGTGCAGCAACATGTGATGCTGCCTGATTTTTTTCTGTAATCTCCATATTATGACCTGACCAACTGGGAACTGGAACAGGACAGGCAATGTTCCGCAGTGTGATGCCATGAATATTGACAACATAAGTGAAACAAGTAACTCAGTTCATGTCTGAAGCAGCAAGTGAGTATCAGCAAGGAGAGACAAAACCTGCAGCCCCTGTTGCAGATGGACTCCTCCCCAGTGTCTGTAGTCTGGTGTGGCTCAAACCTGTCTCCCTTCTACATGCATAAACCACAGTAGCTTCTTATGCCCTATCGAAACTAGTTTCCGTTCTCCTATGCTACTTCTTAAACCCTTAATCCTTTCTCAAGAAACCAGTCCCATTTCCCTAGCAATCAGCCACAGTTCCTGCCCCCTCACTCCCCCTTCTCTATTCTTGTATTATTGAAACCTTCTGCCCCATTATCACAGAATCACAGAATATGCTGAGTTGGAAGGGACCCAAAAGGATCATCAAGTCCAACTCCTAGCACTACAGCCATCCCCAGGAATCATACCCTGTGCCCTAGAGTATCATCCATATGCTTCTCAAACTCTGTCAGGCTTGGTGGTCCTTCCCCAATGAGCCTGCTCCAGTGCCCAATCACCCTCTAGGGGGAAGAATCTTTTTCTAATAGCCAACCTAAAGCTCCCATGACACAACTTCAGGCCATTTCCTTGGGTCCTGTCACTTGTCACCACAGAGAAGAGAACAATGCCTGCCTCTTTTCTTCCTCTCAGGAGGAAGATGTAGATGGCCATGAGGTCTCCCCTTAGTCTTCTCTAGACTGAACAGACCAAGTGACCTCACTATGTTAACCCCGCCACAGAAACGAGACCTCTGCAATACAGAGTCTACCAGAGCTGCAATATAGAGGTCTACTGCACTCTGAAATACTCTTTTGCTCAGTGGGTAGAGGTGGATGGTAACTTTGGTAACCTGCTTTGAAGGAAAATTTCATTCTCACAGATTTATCAGTGAGAGACCCAAAAATCACAGTTTTCTCTGATGAAGTCTAATTGGAAATGTGGGGAACAATAAAAAGAGTTTTTTCAAATACATTAATGGCAATAGGCATTATAGAAATATCATTGGTCCATTACAGGATGAAGATGGTCACTTCACAAACAGGAACAGACACAAGAGAGAGGCGTTTAACACTCTCTTTGCCTCCATCTTCAACACGGATGATGGACCAAGGGTGTCTCATTGCCGAGTTGGAGGACCGTGACTGTGAGAACAATCAACTCCCAATCGACCCTGAAGTTGTGTGGGATCTGCTGCTCCAGCTTGATCCCTAGATCCCTGGATCTATGGAGCCTGATGGGATTCATCCCAGAATCATCAAAGATCTGGCTGATATCATTGCAAAACCTCTCTTGATAATTTTTTAGTAGTCTTGGGAATTGGACAGGTCCCAGATGACTGAAAGCTGGTGAACATTGTCCAGTCATGAAGGGCAAGAAGAAGGACCCTGGAAATTACATGCCTGTCAGTATCGCTTCAGTGACTGGTAAAGCTATGGAGAAGATTGTTCTGGGAAGTATTGAAAAACTCCTGAAAGACAATGCAGTCACTTGTCACAGCCACCACAGCTTCATGAGAGGAAATTCCTGCTTATCAGACCTGATTTCCTGTTATAACAAGATAACTTCCCTCCTTGATCAAGGGAAGGCAGTTGATGTAATCTTTTTGGATTTCACTACAGCTTTTGGTATGTGTCTCACAATATCCTTTCGGACAAAATATCCAGCACACAGCTGGATAAACACATCTCCTGATGGGTGAGCAATTGGCTCATGAGTCGAGTACAGAGGGTAATAGTGAATGGGGTGACATCAGACTGGTGACCTGTCACTAGTGGGGTTCCACAGGGCTCCATCTTAGGCCCTGTGCTCTTCAATATCATAAATGACTTGCACACAGGACAGGAAGGGATACTAAACAAGTTTGCAGATGGCATAAAATTCAGAGGAGCTGGTGACTCCCTCAAAGGCAGGAAGGCCCTGCAGAGAGACCTTGACAAGTTAGTGGACCGGGCAATCACGAACTGTTTGAAATTTAACAAGGGAAACTGCTGGATTCTGCACCTGGAATGGGACAATCCTGGATGTTTGTACAGGTTGGGGAATGAGATGTTGAAAAGCAGTCCCACAGGAAGGGACCTGAGGGTCCTGGTCAATGGCAAGTTGAATC